CCCCCGCCGCACCGACCTGACCGTGCTGGTGGCTCACAACGACGACCCCACCGACCAGATGTTCGTCTTCTTCCCCGGTGAGCGGCGCGGCCCGGGCGGGCGCGGGCGGAGCCCCTCGCGGGGAGGGGGTTTGGGGCTCTCGGTGACCCCGGGTGTGGCTCCTTCCGCAGAGGAGCCCAAGGTGGGGATCAAGACGATCAAGATGTACTGCCAGCGCATGCAGGAGGAGAACATCACCCGGGCCCTGATCGTGGTGCAGCAGGGAATGACCCCCTCGGCCAAGCAGGTGCGTGGGGATGGGGCCATGTCCCACTCGGGGCGTTCTGGTGGGCGCTGGAGGCTTTCCCTGTCTCTTTCTCAGCGCTGTTTTTAGGTGAATAAAAGCCCAGCATTGCCTTGCGGGGAAAGGCTTTCACTAAAGCCTGTTGTGCTTTGGCACAGGCTCTTCCTCAGCCTCAAAGTGTCTTTACCCAGAGCAGCTGGTCCTGGTGGCAGCAGCACAGCCGAGGGCCCATGAGCAGCTGAGAAGTGGGGGAAGGAAAAGGGGGTATTTTCCAGGGGCCAGGAGGTCCATGTGCTCATTCCCAGCCTGGCTGTGTCCATGTGAGCACAGGCTGACCCCGGGTGTGGCTCTGGGCACTGCCAGGGCTGTCCCAGCTGCCTCTGACTGGCCTTTCCCTTCCAGTCCCTGGTGGACATGGCTCCCAAATACATCCTGGAGCAGTTCCTGCAGCAGGAGCTTCTGATCAACATCACTGAGCACGAGGTGAGTGGGTGGGGGGTTGTCTCCAGCCCTGTGAGGGGCTGGTCCCTGTCCCTGGTTCATCTCGGCCTCTCCCGTGTTTGCAGCTGGTCCCAGAGCACGTTGTCATGACCAAGGAGGAGGTGACAGAGCTACTGGCCCGATAGTATCCTTTGATGGCCCTTTGATGGCCCTTTGGTTCCCTGTGCATGTCCCTCCCTCCTGCTCAACTGTGATGAAACCTTGGGCTGAACCCCCCATTCCTGCCACGGTTCTTTTCTGTTCCATGAGCGTATCCAGAGCTCCTCCTTGACTCCCAGCACAGCAAACTGAGGGAGAACCAGCTGCCCAGGATCCAGGCTGGGGACCCCGTGGCCCGGTACTTTGGGATAAAGCGCGGCCAGGTGAGAGGAACAGGCTGGGGCAGCAGCTCCCTGTGCCAGGGGAGGGAGAGGATGGTCCTTGGTGGTGTTCCAGAGCTCTGGGAGCAGGGAGGGGTGTCCCTGTCCTGAGCTCTGCACCCTGCAGGTGGTGAAGATCATCAGGCCCAGCGAGACAGCAGGACGGTACATCACCTACAGGCTGGTGCAGTGACCCCAGCGTGGGTAAGGCCCAGGGAACCCCAGGGCTGGGGGGGCTCTGGGCAGTGCTGGGGGCTGGACGGGGTATTCCAGGGTCAATGTGAGGCAGCTGCTTCCAAGGAAATGTCTCAGAGCTTTGAGTGGCTTGTGGAGGGAGAGATGTGGCCCCT